GGGTTCTGATGAGAACAGTGTAAGCGTTCAAGCAAACCACTTCTGAAGATGCAAGCCACTCGTGCTTGCGAAACGTCAGGACGAAATTCTACCGAACGACGGCCTAAACACCCGAAAAAGCCATTAGCTTCAAGACATGGTCGCGAAAATCTATCTCTTCTGATGGAAACTTACGTGGATGGTAAAACGGAAAGTTTTCCCGAAAATTATCCAGGATGGATTACAGTGTAAAAAATGCTTCCAGATCCACATCCACGAAAACCCCAGCCAGATTCTGGACATTTTCGGCGCCCAGAACCTGCCCTCCAACTATGGCGGCCAGTTGCGAACGCTCAGAAAAATGGCCACCGATTGGTACGACGCAGTGAGCGACCACGCCGACTGGTTCCAGGCTCAGGAGAGTGTCCAGATCAGCACGGTGCCTCAGAAAACCAGAAGCCAGCTACATTCTCCCGATCAGATGGGCCTGGAGGGCAGCTTCAGACAATTGAACATTGACTAGCACCCGAACTAACCACCAGAGCCGATGCGAACTGGACACCGACTGGCTTGATTGAATTTCCGGAACTCAGCTTAAAACTGCTCGGGCTGATGTTCTTGAGGCGCTCTTGGAAACTTCATGGAAGCAATAAAGACCAAATGCACCTTCACTCAGCGTCTTACCTTACTTTATTAACGATCTGGACGGGGTTTTGGAAGGGACATATAAAACAAAGGACTTTCGCCGTTTTATCCAAGTGGGGCGCACTACCGCCCCAGAGAAATCACCCTTTCTGTTTAATTCCCCGCGTTTTTACAACCTGGCAGGCCTCCAGCTACTAGCCACAGCCCCAACACGCCCCAATTGAATTACAAAGGCTTTCTACATGCTAACTGTACAATAAACATCTATCTTAGGCTAGTTTGGTCGAACAGTGGACGATCGATCCAGTTTTGAGTGCTCCGAGTCACAATCTATCACAGCAACGCTTCCATCAAGCCACCGGGCACTCAAATGCTACAATTAATCAAACTATTGCTGAGCAGTTCTGGCTGTGTTGTAGGCCCGGTCCAGGCGCCGCAGCTGCTTCAAAGGCGTGTCCAGCACCGTCTGGATCCAGTCGACGTCAGGCGCTACGTAGCCGCCTATTTGCCCTTGTTGTCGACAGCCGGTATCCCATGAGAAGACGCCGCTCAATGTGTAACGGCCCGCTTCGTCGGCGCATGCCAACGCACTCCCATAGTCCACCTACACGCAGCCAATGGGGATCAAGTCCAGACTTTCCGGGGATCTCCCACCTACCTTGCACTGGTCAATGCTGGAAAAGCCACACAAAGTGTTGGTGTTGTAGTGGGGGAGGGCGCTCTGGAAGTGTTCGCCCATCACTTGCTGGCACTGGTCCACGTCCATGATGTTCATGTCGATGCGGTGCATTAAGGCGTTTTTCGCGTGCACTGATCAACAAACGTTGAGGGTGATTACACTCAAAGCGCCAGAACTAGACGATTTCAATGGAAAAACCACGGACTTACGCTGCAGAATCCTCTTTCCCCATCCGGTGGCGATGCAATTCTGAGTGGGGATCAGATTGGGTTCCGGCAAACAGATCGCGCCGATGTTCTTGGTGAACCGCAGGTTCTCCTGCAGCACCAGCACGGCTAAGTCATGCTGCAAATTGCCCGCCTTGAAGTCCGGATGGCGCAGGATGGCAGCCACTTTCACGATCTGGAACGGGAGCGGTTCCTCGTCGATGCCCAGCTTCCATTCGCCGCCCTTGATCAGCACGTCCGAAGTTTCCAAGCTAAACGCGCCAAAGCACACTTAAGTCGGTCTGCGCTGAAACTTTTGCGCCTGAACCCACCCTTCGACGCAATGGGCCGCAGTGAGGACGGCGTTTCGGCGAATGATGGCTCCGCCACACAGCAGGCTCCTGTTCGAGTCCCGCAGGATCATGGCCTGCCAGGAAATCTCCGCAAAGTTGGCATCAATGGGCGATTGCCCGAAGGGACTGGAGTTCTGCAACAAAACCGCCAAACAATCTTGAATATCGGGTGTTTGAAGAAACGAGCTAAATAGTCGTTTTCAAACCAACGGCGAAAAGTGTCTTCTAACGGGAGAAACGATCGAAAAACGGATTCTCGCCCTCGTAACAAACAATTTTTTTTGTCCCTATGTCTTCTAGGTAGGTGACAAAAATTTTTGTATATCGTTACGTTTCGGCGAGACAACAGCGCCATCGTCAGATTTTTTGATTTCGCACTTTGACTGAGACCCAGGAAAGATAAGAATATCATAACAAGTACACTTTCCTGGGTCTCAGTCAAAGTGTGAAGTAAAAATGTTGAATATCGTTTATTTCRTTACGTTKCGGCGAGACAACAGCGCCATCRTCAGATTTTAAAATTCATTCAAACTCATAATTGGTAAACATTATATTCACTTTAGGTCTTGCACAGCAAAGACCTAAAKGAATATAATGTTTACCAATTATGAGTTTGAATGAATTTTAAAATCTGAYGATGGCGCTGTTGTCTCGCCGAAACGTAACGATATACAAAAAATTTTGTTTCACACTGTGACTGGAGCCCAGGAAGGAAAATAATATAATGACAATTACACGCAGTCAGGCACATAATTAAAAATAATATTTTTTATTCTAATGGAAGGGAAATAAAAAATGAATAAATAAGAACAGTCAACAATGAAAAGCATCGATTTCAAATTTTGATGACAGTTGATGTCAATGCCATTTTTCAAAGGTCACCTTTTGACGTTTGCAACTTTTCAAAAGCTTCTTTCACTGTATGGTGTTTGCTAAGTTGCATACGTTGCATGGCAAGTGCCCTATTTGAAACGTTCGTGTTTTGCGTGTGACAACATCGGCGAAGGCAGAAAAATAGGCAATTAAAACGACTTTGAGACTGAGACTAACTTTAAATTATAATCAATAGTAGTCGATAAACCTACGTAATTAATTAAAATAAATTAAATGGTAAAGTGGCAGCTTGCGCATTAATGTCAATGCATCATGCGCCAATTTGCGTCAGCCAGAAAATTAAGAAAAAATTATAAAAAAAGAAATTACCAGGTTTCGAACGCCGCAATCTTCACTAGCCCGCTTCGATCTGCCATTGGAGTTTCTCACCTTCTTGAACCTGGGATTGGGAATGACGCGACTGGCTCTGCGTATGCGATTGAACTCGCCTGAAAATCCACAAAACCCATTTTAGCCCAAATCGTTTACTTTCAAACCGAAAACTTGAACGTGCCGCACTGTTCTTCCAAACATTGCAACACCGCCTAAAGGTGAACAACAACAGGCCAAACCCCTCAATTTGCATAATGTGATTGAGGAGTCTATTTGTCACTTTCAAGGTCACAACGTTTGGTCGGTACTGCCTTCATTGACCACTAGAATACCACTAGAGCCCCACTGGCCAAGGGGGCGATTCACGAAAGAGCGCAGGACAGGCAAGGTAGTGGTTTCCAAGTGCAATTCAAACAAAAGCGCCTTCAAGCTGTTTTCACTGGATGGTTTATTACAAAAAAAAATCTTCTTCCGATCATATTTTACAATAAATTACACAAAAATTGTACAGCCATTCTTACTATTAGCGTTTTACAAATAGAGGCAGTGCCTGCGGAACCACCGACTATATGCGGCCTTTGAGGCTGAACCAGCCGTCAAAGGCCCACATGGAGGCTGGCCGCTTGAGTACGGTTGAAATGACAAATAGACTTAGCGCACCTACTGGCCAAAGGTTCTGGGCAATTCGCCCTCTAAACCAAACCGAGTTACCAAACTATTAGAGCGAACAGAAGGAGGTTTAGGCCATCTAAACCTGCTTCCCTGCTCCAAGACCACCGATACTAATCTACAACAACAACAACAACTAGTCTATCTACTGGCTACGGCTACTCTACACACTAAGCCACTAAGCGAAGCGCTAAGGGGGCGCTATTTTCTGTTACCTTTGTACTGGCCAATCGAGTCGTCTTCAGCATACCGTCCATCGTCCACTCCATTGACCAGGTTGGCTGATGGCCACGGGTCTTGGTAGTCGCGATCTCGGCAACATTTTCCAACGGTGCCGGACGAAATATCCCGACACACCTGAAACGGTTAAAATCGTTAAGAACTGCCTCAAAAATCAACTGCCTCATTCGAAACAACTTGAATTTTTGAACCCATAAAGTGAGGGCTTACCGTAGTGGGCGCCCTCAGCAACTCCTGTTCCTTAGTGAGCACAACCGGCACGGGACTGACAAATCCGTCAGCAGTACAGTAGATCTCCTGCACGCACTTCAAGGCGGCAGCGCACCCATAGGGAATCAACTCATCATTGTACTCATTCCCTCCGTTATTCGGCGGCGTGACGACCACATTCACTGTCATATCTTCAGCAGGCGTGTGATCTGCAAACACTCACCCACGTGAGAAACTCCTCCCAAACAACGCTCACAACTTACCAGAGTCATCAGGCGAATAGGGCGTGGGCGTCACAGTGTTGTTCGGGCTAAAACGCGGATTTCCAGGGGTTACAATCGGTCTAAGAGTGGATGAGGATGGTCTGAATGTGGATGCTCGTGGTGGTGGTGGTGGTTTTGGTTGCGAATCGCATGCTTTCTTTGCTAGTGAGTAAACCTGACCGGGTGGACAGTGGGGGGTGGGCTCTGGGCCGCGAGGCCTCTGACAACCCCCCGAGGGAGACGGAACAAGTCCCGCAGGGCATTTGGGGGAGGGAGATTCGGAAGGTTTTTCAGTCGGAGCGCTAATCGGCACACACCCAGACCCGGATCTGGACGGCGCCAGCCCGTCTGGGCACCTCCTGGTCGGTCCCGGCCCCGAACTCTCCCCAGCCGGCTCGCATCTTCTGGTCTCCAAATTGAGCTGCTCCCCCACACCGCAGCTGCTCGGCCTATAAGTTGTGGGCGTGTCGAACGGCTTGGAGGGCCTGGGGTAGGAGTAGCTGGGCCGCCCCAGCGGCTCGCATTTTCTCGTCGCCGGGTTGAACCGTTGCCCATCAGCGCACCTCTCGCTCGGCCTGTAGGTTGTGGGAGGTTGGCTGGTCGATTCGCACTTTTGGGTCTGGACGTTGAGGCGCGATCCATAGGGGCAGGACTTCGGTCTTTCCCCTGCCTCGCAGCGCCCACTCACCGGACTTCTGCTGCTGCCAGCAGGACAGGGGGAGGGTGTTGGCCTCTCCTCCTCAAATGGGATCTTCGGGGTGGGGTACGCATAGGTAGTCCGAGCAGGAGTGGGAGTGGTCCTGCCTTGACAACGCCCGGTGTGGGCGTTGAGGGTTTCCCCACTCGCGCAGGGTGTTTTGGTGCTGCCAATCGGTTCGCACCGCCTACTAAACACGTTGAAACGCTCCCCAGAGCCGCAATCCACTGGAGTAGGAGGGGGCACTTTCTCGCACTGATCACTCAGCACGTTGAGGCGCTCGCCGAAGCCGCAGATCTTCTGCTGGTTGACTCGGGGTGTGGTCGTTCTCGGCTCGCAGCGATTGGTTGACTCGTTCAGAACCTCTCCAGGCGAGCAGAATTTTCGCGTGGGCAGTGTGGGTGGGCGGGCCGTGTACGTCGTTTCGCATTGGCCGCGCACAGGGTTCCAACCCTCCCCTATACCACACGGCCTCCTGGTCACGCTCGTTGGGGTTGTAGTGGGCTTCTCCTCAAAGGGCACTGAGGGTTTCGGGTAGAAATACTCAGTGCTGGGCTTTGGGGTGCGAACCGATTCGCATCGTCCACTCTGGGCGTTGAATTTGCGTCCCGCCCCACAATCTGGAGTGGGTCTCGGAGTGCTCACTCGTTCACATTGCCCACTAATCGGACTTGGTTTCTCTCCGAAAGCGCACGATTTTTGAGTAGTTGTTGTTGTGAACTCGCAAATGCCAGTGATTTGATTGGGTTTCTGGTTCTGACCGCAGCCCCTTGGGGGGAACGGAGTGGGCTTCGGGCCCACAGGTTCACAATGTCCACTAAAAGCATTCAATTTTTCCCCCAATGTGCAGGGTTTTTCGGTGATTAAGGTTGATTCACATTGAGCGGTGAACGGGTTGAGGCGTTCGCCTTGTCGGCAGGTCGTAGGCCTTGGGGAGCTTGGGGTGGGTCTTGGGCTAATTACGCCCTCACATCGCCCACTAAACTGGTTGAACTTTTCGTTAATCGCACAGGATTTCTGAGTGGTTGTTGTTACCGTCTCACACTGACCGGTGATTGCATTCAGTTTTTGGCCCTGAGGACAAGCTGGGGCCCTGGGGGTGGTTGGGGTGGGTCTTGGTGTACTCACACGCTCACATTGGTTGCTAAATATGTTCAAGTTTTCGCCGAAAGCGCAGGATTTTCGAGTTGTCGTCGATTCACATTGACCGGTGATTGGATTGCGATTTTGGCTTTGAAGACACGGTTGAGACCTGGTAGGGCTTGGGGTAGGCCTTGGTGTACTCAGGCGCTCACATTCCCCACTAAATCTGTTCACTTGCTCACCATACGCGCAGGACTTTTGAGTGGTTGATGTGAATTCGCAAGCACCGGTGGAGGGATTTACTCTTTGACCTTGCAAGCATCTGTCAGTCTTTGGTGATCTTGGAGTGGTCAACGACTCACACTGGCCGGAAATAACATTCAAGTTTTGCCCGGACCCGCACGGTTTTCTTGGTCGTGTCGGTTTGGTAGTGGGATTCTCCTCAAAAGGCACCGATGGTTTGGGGTAAGTGTATCCACCAGTCGGCTTGGGGGTTTGAGGGGACTCACATCGACCTGTTTGATCGTTAAACTTACTTCCGGCCGCACAGCTTGGAGTGGGCCTGGGTGTACTCACACCCTCACACTTCCCACTAAACTGATTCAACTGCTCCCCAAACCCGCATGAGGGTTGAGTAGTGGTTGATTCACATCGACCGGTAATGGAGTTGTATCTCTGACCCTGAAGGCATGTTTGAGGTGGCGATGGTCTTGGGGTGGGCCTGGGTGTACTCACACGCTCACACTTCCCACTAAACTGATTCAACTGCTCCCCAAACCCGCATGAGGGTTGAGTAGTGGTTGATTCACATCGACCGGTAATTGAGTTGTATCTTTGACCCTGAGGGCATGTGTGAGGTGGCGTTGGTCTTGGTGTGGGTCTGGGTGTACTCACACGCTCACACTGCCCACTAAACCTGTTCAGCTGTTCCCCAGCGCCGCAGAATTTTGGAGTGGGGGTTGAAATCGATTCACATCGAGCGGTATGCGAGTTGAACGTTTGTCCGCTAGCGCACGTTTGCGACCTTTGGGTGGTGGGCGACTCACACTGCCCAGAGAAAGCGTTCAAATTCTGCCCAAACCCGCACACTCTTTTTGTGGTGGGATGCTCTTCAAAGGGTACTGAGGGTTTGGGGTAGGTGTACCCCCCATTGGGCTTGGGGGTCTGAATGGACTCGCACCTTCCGCTTTGCGCATGGAGTTTCGTTCCCGCTGCACAGCCCCTTGTTGTGGTGGGAGAGGGCCTTGGGGTGGTCAAGAGTTCGCATCGGCCGGAAGTCTGACTGAACGCTTGCCCAAAGCCGCACGTGACCTGAGAATCCGGCCTTGGAGGACTTTCACATTGCCGACTCACCGGGTTGAAGGTCCCGAAGGGACAGGATCTCGGGGTGGTGGTAGCAACCTCACATTGTTGAGTCAGTGAATTGAAGGTTTCCCCGAACCCACAGCTTGAGGAGGGCCTTGGGGTGGTTGCGATGGCTTCACATTGTCTGGTCCTCACGTTGAGTCTTTGCCCAAAGCCGCACACAGTGCGAGTGGTGCTCGGAATGGGTCTTGGAGTGGTCACACGCTCACATTGGCTGGTGGCCGAGTTGAAAGTTTCCCCAAAGGAGCAGGCGGGTTTGGTGGGTTCGCACCGTCCACTCAAAGAGTTCAAAGCGCTGCCAGGCCCACACGTGTCCACTATAGGTGGGCGAGACGTCGACGGTTGGAAAACCGAGTCGCACCGATTAGCGTTCACATTAAATCGGGTACCAAAGGGACAAGCCTGGGACGTGGGAAAAGTCGGTCGGAGTGAGGTTGAGGTGAAACTAGGCGTGGTTAGTCTACCAGTGCTGACCGATGTTCTTTGTGTGGTAGTAAATGATGCTGGTGAAGGGCGAATGAATTGTGTGGATGGTCTGGCTGTGGTGGTTACATACTTTTCCGGCGGGAGGTAATTTCTTGAGGTTGTAGTGGGCGGTGGGGGTCGGACAGTGGGAATTTCGCATCGTCCGGAGGGAGATTTTTTGGTTCCGGGAGGGCAAGGCGCTGGAGTGGACTGCTCGATCACAACACAACCTGCACAAAAATCTCGTCGTTTGAAACCGGTGCTCTGATCAACTGATCACACCATGCACTTACCTCCATACGGTCCGGGCTTACGTCCGGGCCCACAAGTGATGGGCGCCGGCTGTACTTCAATACATTGTCCATACGGCCCGGGAACTGATCCTGCAAAAAATGTTGAGTGTTTTTTGACAAAACTATAACATCTATCAAATCGAAAATGTACCTGGCCTGCACGATGGTGGAGGCCTCGGCGACGGAGTCGTTGGGATTGGAACGTCCACACATTGATTATTTGGTCCCAATCTCTGTCCTGATGGACAGTAAATCACTGGAGGTCTGGTGGGCGCTACTGTGCAAACTCCATTAGGTCCGCGTATGTGGCCCTGGGGACACGCAGGGGCTGGAGTGGGTGGAGGAGGAGTAACGATATCCACACATTGTCCGATTGAATTGGGTCGTTTTCCTGCTCCACAGAGCTCAATTTTAATACACTGCCCATTTGGCCCTACTCTTTCTCCAGCTGAACAATACGGCACTCTAGGGGTAGTTGATTCCGATACACAACGTCCATCAGGTGTGGGCTTTTGGCCAAATGGACATGCTGGCACTGATGGGCGTGTTGGTGGTCGCGGTGGAGGTGGCGGTGGGGTTGGTTTGGGTATATCTACACATCCCCCAAACCCATTGGGCCTTTGCCCCGGTCCACAAACCTCTATTTTAATGCACTGTCCATTTGGCCCTACTCTTTCTCCAGAAGAACAATACGGAACTCTCGAGGTAGTTGATTCGGATACACAACGTCCATCAGGGGTGGGCTTTTGGCCATATGGACAAGCTGGCGCCGGTGGGCTTGGTCTGGGTATATCTACACAACCTCCCACTCCGTTAGGTCTCTGTCCAGCTGGACAGTAAATCACTGGCGGACTGGTGGGGACTACTGTACAAACTCCATTGGGTCCGCGTACTTGGCCCGGGGGACAAGTTGGGGCAGGAGTGGGTGGAGGAGGAGTAACGATATCCACGCATTGTCCGATTGAATTGGGGCGTTGTCCGGCTCCACATGAAGGTATCGAAATGCAGTCTCCATTTGGTCCAACCCTTTCTCCAGATTGGCAATACGGTGTTTTCGGGGTAGTTGATTCTGACACACAACGTCCCTCAGGGTTTCGCTTTTGACCATAAGGACATGGAGGCACTGGTGGGCGTGGTGGTGGTGGGCCTGGTCTGGGTATATCTACACAACCTCCCACTCCGTTGGGTCTCTGTCCAAATGGACAGTAAACTGCCGGGGGACTGGTGGGGACTGCGGTGCAGACTCCATTAGGTCCGCGTATTTGGCCCGGAGCACAAGGAGGGGCAGGAGTGGGTGCTGGTGGAGTAACGATGTCTACACATCCCCCAAATCCATTGGGCCTTTGCCCAGCTCCACAAACCTCTATTTTGATACACTGTCCATTTGGCCCTACTCTATCTCCAGATGGACAATACGGTGCTTCTGTTGGGGGTCGTGGTTCTGATACGCAACGCCCATCAAGCGTGGGCTTTTGGCCAAATGGACATGGTTGCACTGTTGGGCGGGTTGGTGGTGGTGGTGGACTTGGTTTAGGTATATCTACACACCCCCCGAACCCATTGGGCCTTTGCCCTGCTCCGCAGACCTCTATTTTAATGCACTGTCCGTTCGGTCCTTTCCTATATCCAGATGGACAGTAGGGGGCTTCTGTTGGTGGTGGTGGTTCGGATACGCAACGTCCATCAGGTGTGGGCTTTTGACCAAATGGACATTGTGGCACTGGTGGGCGTGGTGGTGGTGGAGGTGGGCTTGGTTTGGGTATATCTACACATCCCCCGAACCCATTGGGCCTTTGCCCAGCTCCACAAACCTCTATTTTAATACACTGCCCACTTGGCCCTACTCTTTCTCCAGATGGACAATAGGGTACTCGTGGGGTAGTTGACTCTGATACACAACGTCCATCAGGGTTTCGCTTTTGGCCATATGGGCATGGTGGCACAGGTGGGCGTGTTGGTGGTGGGCTTGGTCTGGGTATATCGACGCAACCTCCAACCCCGTTGGGTTTCTGTCCAAATGGACAGTAAACTACTGGGGGACTGGTGGGGACTGGGGTGCAGAGTCCATTAGGTCCGCGGATTTGGCCCGGAGCACAAGGCGGGGTAGGAGTGGGTGCTGGTGGAGTAACGATGTCTACACATCCCCCAAACCCATTGGGCCTTTGCCCCACTCCGCATACCTCTATTTTGATACACTGTCCATTTKGCCCTACTCTTTCTCCAGATGGACAATACGGCACACTAGGGGTAGTTGATTCGGATATGCAACGTCCATCAGGTGTGGGCTTTTGGCCAAATGGACATGCTGGCACTGGTGGGCGTGTTGGTGTTGGAGGTGGAGGTGGCGGTGGGGTTGGTTTGGGTATATCTACACATCCCCCGTACCCATTAGGCCTTTGCCCTGCTCCGCAGACCTCAATTTTAATGCACTGTCCGGTCGGTCCTTTCCTATATCCAGATGGACAATAGGGGGCTTCTGTTGATGGTGGTGGCTCTGATCCGCAACGTCCATCAGGGGTGGGCTTTTGGCCAAACGGACACAGCGGCACAGGTGGGCGAATTGGTGGCGGAGGTGGGCTGGGTCTGGGTATATCCACACATCCCCCGAACCCATTAGGCCTTTGCCCAGCCCCGCAAAGGTTCACTCCCACACACTGGCCATCGGGGCCTCTGCGTTGACCACTTGGGCAGTAGGGCGCAACTGTGGTGGTGGGAGCTGGCGGAGTGGGGACATTTTCACATCTTCCTGAAGGCGTTTCTCGTTGCCCTGGCAGGCAAACGACTGGCGGTCGGGTCGGTGGGGGAGTGGGAATGTTCACGCATCCTCCATATGGGGCGGGCTGTTGACCCACAGGACATTCAGGCCGGAGTTTTTCGCAACTTCCAGATGGAGTCGGTCTTGTGCCAGGAGGACACGGTTCTCTTATTGGCTCACACCGGCCCACACTGGTCAAATATTGGCCAGTTGGGCAGGATTCTGGACGACGGGTGGTGGTTGGGGGGGCCGCTGAAATCCCATGTGAAATGTTTGGGTGCTTCAACGGGGGTTCCAGGGGGAACTTACGCGCAGGTGGAATGTATCCAGCAGCATCAAGGTTGGAGAATCGGGCATCATCGCCGAACTCCACGTTGGAGTAGTCGGGAGTGCTGCCGAAGAATTGGCTGGCTGCCGCTGTGACGTCGCGCACCGGCTTGGCAGTGGAGGACCCGGAGGACTCGCCGATTAAGTTCAGCTGAGGGCGAATTCCTTCTTGGGAGGAGTGGATGATCTACAATGCAGAAGCCGTTAGGTTGCCAGAATGCAGCAGCTCGTCACTCCAATACCTGCACCTGTTCGGGCGTCAGGCCGTCTTTGCCGGTGTCTTTGGACCGGCCCGGAGTGAACAGCAACTGGTTAATGTGGTCAGCCAAAGAGCTCTTTTCTCCGGATGGCAAGCGACAACAAACCTCATGTCCCGCACATTGGACGTCCTGCAAGGCAAGGAAGTTTATATCGGCCAGACCGATTTGCATATTGCATATTGGCGATATTGATCGAAGCAATTGGGAGTCACACGTCAAGGTTTTATTGATGGCAAGATGTTTTATTGTCCTTTTACGTCGTATCGTCTTCGCGCATCAAGGAGAACCAGTGTCGTAAAAAATCGAATTTGTTGAGGAATTCAAGAAAAGGTCGCCCCGAGCAGGGATGACAGTGAATTACGTGGGCTGCACGTTTCGGATTAATGTTCGCTCATTCCGCAACCTTTCATCGCTGATAATCCTCCGCTGCTTTTCCCAATATATCACAAGAAAAATATTGCGCTACCGCTTTCTTCTCGTTACGACATTCGTCGTCGTCCTCTTCGGGCACGCCAAATTTTGAATAATTACCATCGCTAACGCGAAAGTCCATCCCGAGCCTCGAGCATGATGGACCCCATCAAAATTCTCCTACTTTTCTTCAGCCTGACTGGTTACCTAAGCGCGCCAATCACAAATTAATCAAATGCCTGCTAGGTGTATGACAACGCAAAATCAATCGGCCGCCGTCAAAGGTTAAAGAAGAACTGGCAGTTCAGCTTTCTCGTCAATCATAGCTGCAGGTCAGCAGATCAGCGAACAACCTGACATGAGGTGAAGTAACAGGCAATGAAGCAATTTGTCGACTCTTTTCAAACCGCGTTGTTCAAACGCCCCTGGTAACTGGGGCAAGGGCGACAAGGACCCACTGGTTTCCGTGGCAACGACTATAGGGCGCTCGCTCCCTCGCACTGCGGCGCAGCCTCCATTCGGCCAGTTGTGCTACGGGGGCCCGAAAAAAAGTTCAATCAAAGCCCATCGGAACAAACCGGATTCGATGGCTTTGAAGCCCTGCGAAGCTTTCGTGAAAATTTGCTGGTTTCATAGGCGTTGCACAACTGCAATTAACGTTTGCATACCAAATATGCAACGCCGGTTCTCGGCTCGCATGAGAATTTTAATATAAACCGTGATCGCTGACATAAAATCCCAATTTTATGGATGTGGCTAATCGGTTCTTGCTGAAGGTGCGCCACTTGGGACGCATGCAACTGCACGAGCGCTCAATTAATGCCGATGTTTGCCTTAGTTAGACGCAAAAATCCCCAGTAAATTTTGGAATTTGTTACTGAAATAATTGGGGACTGTTGAGGCCTTGAAAAGTCAGCAAATTCAATCAGTACGCGGCATTTGCAAAGGGCACTAGAAGCGATTTGATGACATTCGCAGACCTTGAAGCAAACCCATTGGCTCGCTGAGTGTTTGCCGGGTCAAATTGCCGCAACAATTGCGATTGCGACACTGAACGTCTCTAAAATTGTCGTTGCAATCGTGAATTAATACGAACCCGATAATGGTTATTACTAATGGCCGGTAAATAGAAGAGAAAGTTGGATTGTCAACAGAAAAAGGTCAGCATTGAACATTGTTCGCACCAAATGGTCCACATTCTTGCAAGGACGACCCATACTTGCTTTATAGCTGGCGCAACAGTTTCCGACCGCCCCCTATAGCAAGCCAGAATGGCCGTCGGTGTGACGTCATCAGCGTGCGTAAGAGTGAGAGCAAATGAGCCTGTTTCCACTTGCTCCACTTACCAGGGCTGCGCGGAAGTTACTTTACTTTGGAATTTGGAATGATTGATCTGGACTGGCATCAAATAACTGGATTTTTTTCCTGGAAAAACAGGAAAATGTTCAATACTTACGGGGTTTTTCCTCACTGATCGACTGGTTGCAAAACCGTCCACACACTCCTGTCTGGACACGCAAATCCTGTCCGCTCCAGAGCACGGTGATCCAGCTTGCCCTGAAACAGCGACGCTAGATTGAGTGCCGTTCTTCCGAAGGCCCTTAAAAGGGACCGAGGGCTGTACGCCAATAAACCCGTTCTCGTTACGGATCAAGTCTCCATTGGCTGTCAACAAACAGACCAATTAGGAGAACAGAAAATCGGTGGCGGTCATGAGGTGTCCATCCACAAACAGGAGAAACATGCAAGTTTTTGACAAGTGTTTGATGAGGAGGAATGAAGAAAACCACGCAAAACTTTGATTTCCGCACAGTTGGTACAGTTTTGGAAAGTTTTGACTGAAATTAATCGAAAGCCCAGCAGCGATTTTGGAGAAAAGTGATCCTCCATCCAGTGGCGTGCTCGGGAAATTGCATCCTAGAGACTTAGAGAAAAGGAGGAGGAAAACTGGGACTGAAACACTACAAGGCCCATGCACATGCCCATGCTTTGGTCAAAAACTCACCAATTTTGCCATTGAAAAACACATTGTGGCTCAGATCGAGAGCGCTGACGCGTGCGCGACCAATCGCAGGCTCACCTTGAGAAAAACACTGCCTCATCGACACCTCACACCAACCAAAACTTACCGATTCGCCCATTGAGGAAAACATTTTTGCACAAATCAACCAACTGGCTTTGGGCTAAACAACAGCCAATCAAAGGGGGCAAACAATTTCCCATTGACACTCACCTGCATGGGCAAAGCCGCCCTGGAAAAATGGGTTGCTGCTGAGGTCCGGACTGGACTTCGACTCAGAACGCGCGAAAGCCGTGGAAACAGCAAAGTTCCCGCTCAGAAAGGCGTTCTTCTGGATGTCGATGGGCCCCAAACCGGCGCCCGAATCCTCGGATTCCGACGCTTGCTTGCCCTGGGCGCATTTGCCTGCAAAACCCGGAAAGCTCAGCTAAAGAACTGCTAAAGGGGGCAGGTTCCTACCAGTAGCGGCGCATTTCTTGAAGTAGTCATAGGAGGCCTTTAGGGGGCTGTCGTCCTGCATCCACCAGAAGTCTTTGGGGGTGCGTGCTGCGTCCAGGGCGCGGTTAATTTCCTGCGGATCGGACTGGGGGTGTGCTGAGCCTTGCGCGATGTGACTCACATCCGCCTGGGCGCAAGTGAGGAGTGTTATCCCCACTAGGACTAGTGGAGACATTTTGGCCTAATCTGCAAGTTAAACAACGGTTATAAAAAAAAAATAGACTTTCGAGGCCATTCCTTGAAACTAAGGGGTTCTTAGGCCGTCGTTGGTTAAAATTTCTTCCTGACGTTTCGCAAGCACGAGTGGCTTGCATCTTCAGAAGTGGTTTGCTTGAACGCTTACACTGTTCTCATCAGAACCCGCGT